GTGTTAGTTTATCAAAAATAGTGTTAAATATCACACTAGTTTTATGTTGCCCTCTTTTACTTACAAAAAAAAAAAGAAAAAAGAAAAAAAAAAGTTTAAATATTCAGTTAGGTACATTATCTAAATTTGTGATTGTTAACTTGTGATCTGTCTGACTTTTTCTGCTCATCAGCTATCCCTATGTTAGTGTAGTTTATGTGTGCCTCAAGACAATTCCTTTTCTTCCAATGTGGCCCCAGAAAGTGAAAAGGTTGGGCACCCCTGCCTTATAGGACACGTTCACAATTTCTGTTTGCCTTATCTGCCTTTATCTCTGGATTTAACCACCATCTTAACATGCCATTTCCACAGTAGGTAACCTCTGCTTATGCATGTTTTAATTCTGCTCTCAGTTTGAGTGTACTCTAGTATTATCATTATATTATTATCATTTACTAACACTAGGAATGGTGTCAGCACAAGACTAAGTATAACATACAGTACATGTACAGTATGTAAGCATTTGAAAGGTGAACTGCCCCACCTACAGGCTATTCTGTGAACTACACCACACAATGCTTTATTACACAACTGGATTATGTTGCAGCAGATCAGAGACTGCTCACAGGTTCCATACTCTTGCTCTAATGTCAATAATCTGGTTTAAATTACATATGGGAAAGTAGGAGGCCTATTAATACCAGTTGCTTATTCCTGGTCTGTTTATTGTACGATTGGAATGCATTGTTTAATAAATCTTGTAAAATTTCTAAAGCTACATATCCAAGTTAATTTTGTAGTAATATATATATATATATATATATATATACTTGAATAGCACCATCAATTTACACAGCGCTTTACATATATATTGTACATCCACATCAGTCCCTAACCTCAGGGGTGTACAGTCTAAGGTCCCTAACTCACATTCAGACATACACATGCTAGGGCCAATTTAGACAGGATCCAATTCACCTACCTATTAATACCAGTTGTTTATTCCTGGTGTGTTTATTGGATTGGATTGGAATGCATTGTTTAATAAATCTTGTAAAGTTTCTAAAGCTACATATCCAAGTTAATTTTGTAAAGTGTGTGTGTGTGTGTATGTGTATGTATATATATATATATATATATATATATAATATATTTTGCTTGTAGTAGGTCAATTTAAACGCAGGAGAATATAAATATTTTATTCTGATATATACTGCATATAGTACAGCAACTAGTAGTAGATTTGAATTATTATTACTATTTTTAATTATTATTTATTTCAGATACTTATATAGCGCTGTCAATTTACGCAGCACTTTACATTTATATATAGTACATTCACTTCAGTCCCTAACCCTCAAGGGGCATACAATCTAAGGTCACTAATTCACATTCATACATACATATATGAATACTAGGGCCAATTTAGACAGGATCCAGTTAACCTACCAGCATGTCTTTGGAGTGTGGGAGGAAACCAGAGCACCCAGAGGAAACCCACTCAGGCACAGAGAGAACATGCAAACTCCAGGCAGGTTTTGCCGTGGCTGGGATTCGAACCAATGACCCTAGTACTGCCAGTGCTAACCATTTAGCCACTGTGCTGCATAATAGTTACTTGCATTTGTATAGCTGAAATTAATTGCTGCATTAAATAATGTGTTTAATATTGTACATGGACAAGTGACCTGTACACAATTTGCTAGATGTTCCATTTGCAAGCTTAACACATTATTATATGAACAAACAGGTTTTTCTGCTACCATACATAGGCTACCTGCTGGTCGGGCTCCTTTGTCACAGACATAATTTGCTTGTATTGTAACCAGCCCATGTTCAGTAGGTGGAAAGCAGTTGCTTAGTTAAAGCATTATTTGCTCAGATATTGATAGGACAGGATGGAAAATACTGCACTGATCTTCAGCGATTTGGGTGATTCAAGAATTTCTCTTGGCCTGTGTTTCACTTGTGTATTGTGCATGTCTAATGATGCATGTGTGGGTTAGATGTCCTTATAGAAAGGATTGGTGAGCAGTATCATGTCCTATAGACATTGGCTTTCCACATATCCTCAGTACTTTGAAATCATTGTTTAATTCTGCATGTAAAACTTCCTCCATGTACACATTTTCTTCTATTAATGTTGGAATAGTCCCATCAGTTGTTAGAGCAGCGCAGGCACTTTCCAGAGGTCACAAGCTGAGAGTGGTGCCCTTGGCAGCTTTCACAGCAGAATATCTCAAAGTTGCATTAGTGAAGTCTTTTTGCTATGTATAAAGGTGGTTAAAGGATTGCTGCACTAAGAGAAATGTCATCTGTCAGAAATGTTAGCTTTGGTTGTCATACTGATCCAGTGGCTTCAGTATGTTGAGAAACTGACCTGGAATAAGTTTCCAGATGAGGTTTTCTCGCTTCATTAGGTGCATCCTTCAGCTGACCATATGCTGTTTGAATTTCAGACAGTTCTTGATTAGAGATGGGCTCAGATTTGTTTGAATTCTAGTCCAAACCCATCTGAGAGATTCTGCTAGGAATGTAGTGGGCCAATCATAAGTGGTTGAGGCATTCCCCACCCCACATGTGGTCGTTGAATGGAGAATGCCTCACCCACTTATGCTTAGCCCATTACAGTGATAGAGTTGTCACCCTGTACCTGTAAAACCTGATACTTATGAATTATACAGGTTCTGTGGCTGGGTATCGTACACCCAAGACGATGCCAATCAATTTACCCCAGAGCCTTTGTAAGTCCCGTGTCATCTATTAATTCATCTCTGAGGATTTTCCCCCAGATTCTGTATTCTCCTAAGGCTCCATATTTTGTACAGCTACAGATGACTATTTCATTTTATATCTCTACCGCATTTGAACTTTAGATTCCCTTTCACTGATTGATCTAAAATTTCTAGCAGTAGAACGAGTCATGTCTGAAAGTTGCAATATTTTTTCCTGCATATTTGTAATCATCTCTACAATCTTGTGCTTCTATGATGATAGTCCCTAACTCATCCTAACCAATCCCTCAGTGCAGAGAGTATTTTTATCTATGTTTTCTTTTTTTTTTCTTGTTCAAACATTTTATTGAATTTTTCCAAAGCCTGTAACAAGCGTAGGACATACAAAATACATGTGCAAAAAAAAAAAGAAAACATGTCGTCTAAAGGCCAAATGAAAATGTCGTACAAAAACATACAACAGGGAGCCATAGTTAAACATAAGGAAATAATGCAATATAAAGGGAGGTAAAATATGTTTATGGTCTAAATAGGGAGTCCTGCTCCAAAGAACTGCATGAAGGTTCCATGCAAGGTGAAGGAAGAAAAGCTGTAGTGAGTAGAAAAGAAGAGGGAAAGAATAGAGGAGACTGGGGGGGGGGGGGGGGGGGGGCGGGATGGAGGAGGAATGGGGGATGTTAAGGGAGGGGCAACGAATCATCAAAATTCCATGGGAGAAAACGTTCCACCCAAGGGGTCCTGTTTTTTTAAATATTTTTTTAAACCAAGAATGCAATAAACAAAGGGGATGGCTGCAACATTTTGCCAAACAAATGGTACAATTGGTAGTCACATAAGAATACAATGTTAATGTTCAACTAGTGAATCCAACATTAAACATTGAGCATTGGGTGGGCAACAGCCAGGCTTAGAATACCTATATTTTAAAAGGTGAAAAGTCTCCAAAAAATAGATTGTGATACAGATGCATGCTGGGAAGGAATATTACATGTGCCTGCCTTTCACAAAACCAAGAAAAACCGAATGCTCGTGATGAAAGCTAGAGTGATGATACAATGACATACAACAGTTAATATGTCCAATTCCAGTTTAATAAATGTAATAAATCGATAAAACCATAATAATCATATTCCAGGAATCCCATGTAATATTATGGCACTAAATGAAAGATTGGCACAAGTCACATGCTGAAAATGAGTAATGGGAGCGGCTTACTGAGACGATGACATGGTTGTGGAGAGTCTGAATGGTGTACTCCATAGATGGAAGTAAGGAAAAAGGGCAGCAGATATTCACAGTCCAGTAGCCCAATATAGTGTCTCAGGAGAGACCAGGAAGACCTCCTCGGTGTCACCGGAAATCCAGCACCGGAAGTGACGTCATGGCACACCGGAAGTGACCTCAGTGCAGTGCAGGGAAGTCAGCAAAAGCTACCATGAAACCCTCAGCTGGAGTGGGACTGGACAAAACAAATCCTGGTTACCATGATGATGCGTTTCGCATGAATCAGTGCTTTGTCAGTCTTTTGTCTTGTGGGTTGTGGGATTTGTCTATTTTGCTTTCACAAAACCAATAGACTTGTGGGACACATTTGGAGAGATTTTCCAAAATTGGTTCATGCAGAATCTGGTGCAGCTCTGCATAGAAACCAATCAGCTTCCAGGTTTTAATGTCAAAGCTTAATTGAACAAGCTGAAGTTAGAAGCTGATTGGTTACTATGCACAGTTTCACCAGATTCTTTGTGCACCAGTTTTAGTAAACTCCTCCCATTGGTAGGACTGATTCTCTGTAAATGGGACACTGTAGAACTTTGGGTTTCTGGTACAATATAGTTGCCCAGTGATCAGCTACCAGTGTTGTTTTCCATAGGGAGCATGTTAGACATTTAATGTGAGCTTGAGAGGTTCCAATGGACAAGGTGGTGCAGACTACACCATAGCTGGATGCTGGCAGTGTTGCAGAGTGGACTGTGCTCATTTTAAAGTGACCCTGTGCTTTGCCCATGCAGAACAAAGCCATAGGTTCAATTCCATGCTGGTCTTTGCATCTGCTTGTGCTTTCTTCCCTTTAGCCCCCCTCTTCTGCGCCGTTCACCTGCTTATGAGCTGTGGTCTTTTGTAAGCCTCAAATCATACCCTGAAGCTTACACAGAACTGAGGGCTCTGCCTTCATCCTCACATGGCAGCATTTGTGCAGTCGCTTGCTAAGCATCATCACTGCATATAGGAGGAAGGAAAGGAGGACATATACTTGCCTATATTTAGTATACCACTTACCTTTTTTAGGAGGATGGAGCAGCGGCAAGCAAGGAGGATGTAAGTATATGCAGCTGTGAGGTTTACCATTTGAGTGAACCTGGTGCATTGTCATGCATGGGTAGATGTGCCGCTCCCCGCTGCATAGGTATAATGGTGATGCATGACCTTACAGCTGTATAAAACAACATGACTGTCTTTTGCAGTGTTCATTCAGATTTCCATTTAGAATTATGATGAATCCTTTTCTGCTTCACAAGTAAATTGCTTTTTCATGATTTAAGGTCCTGTGTTTCTGGGGCAGAGGATAGCTAGTGAAGCCTGTTTGTTTGGTTCACTGGCTGCACTGAGTTGATGATTAACCAACTACTAAGGGTCACTAAGACCTTTAGGTAAATCACCTCTTGGAGCATTTCAGCTGTCATAGAATTACAGGTTACACTCATGCTGCAGTCCAGTAATCGGCTGAAGCTATCGACATTAATATAGAGCTGATCCTTGTGTGCTGTGCCCTGCACTGCTGTCTAACATGACTGACTTTACCTGCGTCTGCCTTTGTTTTGAATGATTGCTCTGCTGATGGGCTAAAACTTTGGAATATAAATTGATACTGACCTTTTTGTTTTTACCTGCAGTCTGAGGCATTGGACCCAAGTGATGTAGGCCTCTCGCATAAGTCGCTTTATTCGCGGTCAGTGGCTATGGAGACAGCTGGAGGTGGCCATTTACATACCTATCAACAGTCTGACCTTGAAGCAGCTCTTCAGCTTGCCAGGGAAGAGGTACAGTCAATCTTTGCTGACAGTTGCTGTCACAGATTTCTGTAGCAAATCTACATTTGGCTTTATCAGATTGCAGAGAAAACCGATCTTTTACAAGACACTTGATACATTATATACTTATCAATGGGATGCACTTTTGTAAGTTAGGTCATTGTAAACAATACATCATGTAACCACTATGTGTCACTGTAGCACCAGTGGATTTTCTTTAAAGCAGTAATAACCCCAAAAGCAAAAATGTACTAGATTGCAGTTTACCGATTCCTAGATGTGGTGGCTGCATCCATTTTATTTTTTTAAGGCTTGCTTTCTTTCATTTTGACCTGGTGATCCATCCAGTAAGTCTGTTGTTTTTCATCAGAACAAGCTGCCCTGCAAATGAAGCAGTTAAGAGTGTTAAGACAAATCATTTACCACTGATAAGGGTGCTTACAATGGTCTTATTTTATTTATTTATATAAAACATTTTTCCCAAAAAAACTGTTGCTGTACCTGCTTGTGTAACGGCAGTGTGAGCTGGAGTTTGGCTTTAATTTGTTAGTGTATCTAAATCTGCTAGTGTATCTAACATTACCCTCCCCCTAGATTGACAAGGCTAGTGTCCAAAGGTGCCCTCTTTGCTCCCATATCCAGAGTCGAGGCACTCTAATACAGGAGGTATGTTACTGGGCAGATCACCAGATGAAAACAGAGGGAAAAAAGCATAAAAATAAAAAATAATGCACCACATCTAAGGATTGGTAAGCTGCAAAATATTACATTTTTGGTTTTGGATCCAATAAGCTTTAAGTTATAAGCATGCATCTGTAGATACCTAAACCCCAGAACAAAAATACAATGGGGTTGATTTACTAAAATCAAAGTGCAAAATCTGGTCCAGCTGTGTATGGTAGCCAATCAGCTTCTAACTTCAGCTTCTTCAATTATGCTTTGACCAAAAAAAATGGAAATTGATTGGTTTCTTTGCTGAGCTGCACCAGATTTCCCCTTCTCCAGTTTTAGTAAATCAACCCTAATATGTTGTAGCTTATAGTCCTTAGATATAGTGGCTGCATTAGATTTCTTTTTTTATTCAAGCTAAGAATATTTTCAGCACATAGTTGTCATTGTCACTTCCTGTGAATTTCACCAAAGAATAGCTTCCTTCCTAACTATTTTCTGTAAAATACCAATTATTCTGTTCCCCGTCTAATAAAGATGAAGCGATACAGACATATTTGTATTCCATATCAGGAGAGCAGCCTTGGGTGACAACCATGGCTTCCTCCAAAGTGACATTACTACCAGGGACAAGAAGTGTGTTATTTGCAGAATTACCAGGTGACAATAAACCAATTGAAGCTTGAAAGGAGAAAACAAGTGCAGCCACCACATCAAGGACCAGTAACCTGCAATATAGTATATTTTTGGTTTTGGTTTTATATACATTTTCATTCGGTGCAAAAAGCAGCGAAATGAAGTGACTTGTAACAGTCATCACAAACCAGCATACTATAGTTTATTGCAATAAAAATGTCTAGAGATCTTAAATGGAATGTGTAGAGATAGTAAATGGTTGTTGGCTGGATTAGGATACAACCGCAGGCACCCTCAGGGCCAGTTTACACTATTATTATTCTTATACAGGATTTTATATAGCGCCAACAGTTTGCTCAGCACTTTACAATATAATGGGAGACAATACAGCAACAATACAGTTCAATACAAGAGGGTTAGGAGGGCCCTGCTCCTTGGAGCTTACAATCTAGGAGACACTACATGCATTTTAGTTGCTATTTTTCTGAATCCAAAATGCACAGAAAGTAGGTTATATGGCTGTCAATGTCATAGTTCACATCAGTGCTTGCAGTTCCAGTGCTTTCCGGTTGCAGAATAAATTAGAACAGGCTGCATTTTTCCTGCACAGAACTGTACTGGAACGTGGTAAAACGCATAAAAAACACACCAAAACCGCACTGAAATGCACATGTCCCTATTTGAACTGACGAAAAATAGAGGGGGAAAAATGAACTGGAATGCATAAAAAATGCACTGGAAAGCGTCAAAAACGCACCGGAATGTACCAAAAACGCATGTAAAAAAACCATCCGGAATGCATCTGGACTGCGTTTCTATAGTGTGAACCGGCCCTCAGACATGAACAGATGCCTCTAACTGACTAAGGGCCTAGTTCACACTAGATGCTGTCCAGTGTTTTTTTTTTTTTCTGCATCATAAATGCATGCACAGTGTTTTCCATGTATTCCAATCGCCCTAGTTCACACCAGTGCAGTTATTTCCAGTCAGTTTCCGGTGCAGAAACAAAAGTAGAACATGCTGCATTTTTTCTGCACAGAATCATACTGGAACATTGCAAACTGCATCAAAACTGCTCCGGAACTGCGTGTGGTGTGAACTGTAAGCAAAAACCTCTCCGGAATGCACCTGGAGTGCATTTTTGTGGTGTGAACTGGCGCTATAACTGGAAAGAGGGAGAAGGTTTGGATTTACACAGCCAAGCCCTGGAACAAGGTTGACATCAATAATGATTTAAGGCATTAATGCATATTCATATACCCAGGAAGATGAGGCCATCTACAGTACTTATGCATACATCATTCAGGGAACAACCAGCTGATATGATTAGGGGTCATGGATGTCCTCTCTTTTAAGTATCACATCTAATCAATTCTAAATAAAACAATTCTGAGGTTCTGTTGAAGCGAGGTTATTACATTTTCTTTGTTATAAAATCATGTAATACATGTGACTGGCAGAAGTAAAGTTTCTAAATTAAAAAATAAGTGTGATTTGTAGAACGGCTTATTTGTCGGGCTGATGTCAGATGGGCACATAAAAAAAAAAAAAAAATTTTTAGTTACATTTTCGTTACATTGGCCACCAACATGTAGTCAAGCAAGTGTGCTGAAGCAGGGGCGGACTGACCATTTGGAAACTCGGGCACTGCCTGAGGGCCCGGGGTCAGTAGGGGGCCCCATGAGATGCCCCTGGTACCTTTTTCATAGGCTTTTTTGAGTTTGGGCAAGGACACAGGGGCCCCATGATCCCCTATTGCCCGGGGGCCCCATGAGTTGTCAGTTCGCTCCTGGCTGAAGGATTTATATTCGACCTAAAAATGCTGCATGCAGTCTTTGCAGAGCAATACCATGATAATATACTGTATTTGGCTTGTCAAGCAAGGAGGAATTACATCCATTTATTGATATGTGGTAGAAAAATATGGTAAAACAGTGATATATATTAAGATACAGATAAGATCAGACAAACATTCAAAGTAGGTAGCAGGTAAACGTGAACATATACATATGATTATGTCTTGCCTCCAGCAGATGCTAAGATCTGAATAAGGGTGCCAGCTTTCTGGAGACCTAGATAATAGCCTTTGTTGTAAAGTACAGCATACCTAGATAACAGGAGATCAGGCTACACACTGCAGAATGACTCCGGGAGTAGAGAGACGCTCTTTCTTCCTTTCTCCTAGATGAGCTAAATCAGCTAGTTACTTGCAGTTACCCCAGGTTCACACCTAAGCATTTTCTGCAGCATTTCGTAGACACTCAGTACAGTCCATTTAACATGATTTCCTATGGGACATGTTCACATGCGCGTTTTCACCCAGTGCGTTTGTTGGAAAGGGTCAGGGACTTTTTTTAAAGCAAAAAGTTGTGTTTTTTGGTTCTATAGACTTTGAAGGAAACGCTGCAGGAAAGCATGTATTGCGTTTTTGCTGCATTTTTGCGTTTTAAATCTGCCTAGCAGCAAGAAAATGCAGCAAAAATGCGTAAAAAAACGCAGGTGCAAAAACACAACGCAAAATGCAATGCAGAAACAGCTCAAATGCAACCTGCATAGGTGTGAACCTAGCCTTAAAGGAGAAGTATGGCCAATGCTATTTTGGCTAAACCTCTCCTATGGGTCACAGAAATACACTTCCTTCTGCACTCCTGTGACCCGTTTTTAGCATATCCAGGCTCTGGAAAGATCCTGCTTTTAAAGTCAAGATCCACCCAGATGCCTGGCTCAGCGAGCCACTGAGAACCTGAGCAAACATCCCGCCCCCACAGCCCAGTGCTGGAGGGGCAGAGCAGAGAGCTGGGGACTTACAGTCATGGCCCTCTGTCCAGCGCCGAGGGGAGAACTGAGCGAACAGCAGTGTTTGATTGCTCAGTTCAGTTTGATTGCTCAGTTTGGATCGATTTTGCATCCACGTAGGTGAGCATACTTTTTTTTTGTAAACTTCTCTTTTAAATCGTTTGTTTACAGGGTGCTACTAGGCACACAAGCAGTACTTATAAGGCTAGTCATACATTATGCAATTTTATTTCCTTTAACCTCAGGTTGAAGGAAAGAAAATTGCTTGATTCCCCCATCAAGGCAGTTAGTGTTGATGGGGGAATCCCTCTGGCATTTGTATTGTGTTCTGCTGGTGGGGAGCGCAGGGAAGTTTCCCCACTGGCAGAATATAGTGATCACAGCTGGTGGCTATAGCCGCTGGCAGTAATTGCACGAAAAAACCCCGAAAGGCTGGTTGTACTGAAGTTAATTGATAAATCGACTTTAGAATAACGAGCTTGCACATAAATAGATTGAAATTCGTCCGCTCCCTGCTGAACTGGCTGAATTTCGATCCGTCTATTGCCGGCTTAAGAAAGCCCAGTATTTTTTGCAATCGGAATGTTATAGAAGCTCATGGCATTACATGATTATAAAGAAAAGTTTTTTTATATAAATAATGTATTAAAATGATATATAACATATGTTTATAAACGAGTAACCTTTGAATAAAAGTAAAATAAAGTTGTTGACTAGAAGTATCTGTCTGACATAAGTCGAGTGCTCAGGGTTAGGCAAAGTTCATAGTCGTCCTCTTTCACTGTTATATTCTACTAACCTGCCATTTTATTCTTTAGATTGCAGCCAAGGATAGAGAAGTAACAGACTGGAAGAAGAAGTATGAAGAAAGTCGCTGTGAGGTGGTGGAAATGAGGTAAGAGGAGCTACAATCAGCCATGCCATTTTATAATGCTGTGTATTGTTCATCTATCAGCCCAGCTTATGTAGGCTCTAGGTTTTAGTGTTACTTGGCATTGGAGTCTGAGCTGACTTGAGCACAGCAGACGATCCTCTTGAAGTACTGTGTAATCTTGCTTTTTATACCTCAGATGGCCTTACAAATCCTAGGCATTAAAACCCTCTCCATATGGCCGAGAGATAAGCACAAACATACATCTACTTGCAGACAACTCTTGAACGTAGAGGGTTCTAGTTCAATACCTATCATTTATGCAGGTCCTTAGATCTGAATGTGGGAAATTTTCAGACTACAAAAATTGGTAATCTGTGGAAAAAATATAGGGTGTACCCCCTAACATCACTTCATTGGGTAACTACCCAATAGGTGACTAATCAGAAGCCAAGGAACTTTCAAAAACTAGCCTGTGTAAAAGGGTTTTAATAACACTAGCAAAGATAATAGTAGCTACTGACATTCAGTTCTCTAATGTCGTTACACCATGATGAATGAATTATGTAAATTAGAACATGATTTTCACAAATTTTTTACACGTTTTGTATAATCATCATCTACCTTCACACATTGATGACTGACTAAAGAAAGGAGGCTGCACACCAATGACATCTAGTAGCTCAGTAAGTTTTATTCAGCCATTCAAGTATTGCACATTGTTCCTGCCTGGGGACTGCTCTTGCCTAACACGTTTCGTCTTTGCGGGCTTAATCATAGAGACTCTATGATTAACTCCGTAGGGGTGAAACATGTCAGAGAGGGGCACATGATGTCATTGGTGTGCAGTACGGATGCACCGACACCGATACCAGTATCGAGCTTTCGTCTGGGTTTGTAGCCATGGAAGCTTGGAGTGGTGGCTCCTGTTTGACACAATGGTGATTAGGTTAACCATGTGTCTATAAATTCTGGGGTATGTTTCCAATACTCATTTAAACTGTGGGAGCCACTTGGCTGAGTAGCGAAATGTTTTCAGCATTACAGAACAATTCCCATTAAATATGAGTAACAACTGCTAGCTATATCATGACCTGAATAAATTAAAACCTTTTAAACATTCCCATTCCTCTTCTGTACAGCTTGATTGATCAGAGTGGCCACCCCAGTCATACCTAAAGAAGGACACTAATAATGGTCACCCTAAACAATAAAGTTGTACAGTTGCTGAAGTACTAGTGTACATTCTTCAATTTATTGGAAGACATGCAAGACCTTGTAACACAAAGTCTGCTAAGGCGTAAATCATAACAGTAAAGATAGAACCTACAGTAATTCCAAAGGAACATAAAACGTTTCTGTAGATGTGAAGAGCTAAAGATAGTTACTAGAATTTTGACTGTACAGCGAGAAAGCAAGAAAGTAGAAAGAGAATGACAGATGGCCATGAAGGAAAAGGATTAGGAAAACAGGAGGTGAGGAGGAAAGTAGAAAATAGTGCACATAACCCTAGTAGAGAAGGACAAGCCTAGGGGGAGGAAGTGAGAAGAGTAAACATAGCTTAGAAGAATCAGGCTAGGTGAGGTATTGTTCCCCTGGAGGGGAAGAAACTTATACAGGATTGTATATTTGTGAGTGTTATCCAATATAACATACAATATCTTCAGTTTCATTTAGCAAACTCAAACAGGGATATGGTTTTAGGTTTGGCTTTGAAGTTGAGCACCAAAGTACTTGACAGAAGTTGTTTGCTGGATTCACAGAAATCGACACGCTTTAGCAGAGTTGCCCTAAGGAAGAAGAATTATCACATTTTTGTAACAGTACAGTATTCAGTTTCAGATGGTGCAAAGTACATGTAGCACTTTGTCCCATTTTCAAGTGCCCTGTAATGTTAGGTGCAATGTCCTGAGGGCAGGGTTGTCCAACACAGTAGTTAGCAAGGACTAGCAAGGAGAGGGCTGATTTACTGGTGGTCCCCTGATTCTGACTTCTACAACTTGCCACCATCAATCAAAATGCTCAGGAAAAGAGGGTGTTTTAGCCACATCTCCCACTGTATATCTCATTCTGATGCTTGCCTCGGGAAAGTGCTGGGAGCCGCAAACAGCCACCCTTGTGCCAGCTGCGGTGGGAGGGTGTCCCTGTCCAAAATTGTAGCTAGTGTCACAAGGCAGCTAGAAAGATGAGACACAGTACTATTGAAGTTTGTAAAAAAATATACTTGTTTAAAGCACAGTAAACACAGCTTGAATCAGATGACTTATGCTAAAGACGGCTATAGATGGATCGAACCTCTGCTGGTTCAGCAGGGACCAGCCGAGATTCAATCCATCTATGGGCAGGCTGGTTGAACCGAAGTCAATTCATCAATCGACTTCAGTACAACCAGCCTGTTGGGTTTTTGCATGGGATTAGTGTCGGTGACTATAGCCGCAAGTGGTAATTATTGTGTTCTGCCAGCATGGAAGAATCCCTGCTGGTAGAACATAATAGCGCTGCAGAAGGGATTCCCCCATCAATACTGCCTGTGCTGAGGAGGAATCGAGTGATTTTCTTTCCTGCGGGGAAAAAAAATTGCATCATCTATGGCTTGCTTAAGTAGTTTGCACAAACCATAATTCTGAGCAATGCAATGGACTTGTGAGTGCAGACCGGAAGGTACAGATGTTACAGCTAATAGTGCAGACACCCTTCAGACAATAGAGCACCTTCCTTTGTTGTATGATAGATACATTTAGTTATTTAGCAGACATGATTTTCAGACAGAACTCTGTTTTATTAGTAGTTTATAACAGTTCATTACATCAATATTTGTGATAACACAATCCTCCAAGCTGGCAAGGTCACTTTCCTATTCAGCGTGATCAGCGTCAATAATTGCTATCATAATTAAAACAGTGTGCCTTTAGGAAGGTTTGAAGCTTTCTATACACAAAGGGTTTTAAAAGTCTTTTTGTTTTCCTCCAGAAAAATTGTTGCAGAATATGAACAAACAATTGCACAGATGATTGGTAAGTGTTCACATTGTACATATATACAGTATGCATGCATATCTTTTTTTGTGTATGTTGATGTCACTTACAATTTTGGTAAATTTGTAGTACTTACCCCTAGTCTTAAAATTATTTTGTACTTTATTTCATTATCTTCTATACCCTTTTCTAAAATATCGACCTCCATTAAGAGGTGGCCATCAGAAAGACAGAATACAATGTTATACTTCCAATGTGGCAAAACATGTCCTACATAGGGGATGGTATGGACTACGCTGACTCCCTTTTGAAATTGAAATGTTGGTTCAGCCCCCCAGAGCCTTCCATTTCCTTTAGTTTGGAGGGTGCTCACAGTATATGCAGTACAGTATATATTACTCTTAAAGCAAACCTTTACTGAGAGAGAACTCTGAAGGCTACAGATGCTTTTGTTATCTTGAATATGTAGGCAAAAAGTATTTTTTTTTTTCAACCGGCATACTTGCTCTATCTCAGTCCCTGAAAGTATTGAAGCCAATAAATCCACATGGCAGCAAGGCAGGTAGGGGTTACTGAAGAAGAACAGCTTTGATTTATTGATGATGAAATTGATGATGATTGATGATGAAACTGATGGGTTGGGTTCTTGCACTGTGTTGCCCTTACAACCCAAGAAATTTGCAGATTTGCAAAGACTCTTCAGCATATTTAACCACTTGCCCTCCAGAGGATTTCCCCCCTTCCTGACCAGGCCATTGTTTGCGATACGGTGCTGCATTATTTTAACTGACAACATACAAAATCCTATGGTTTTCAGTTGTGCTTGTTCACACATGAGCATAGCTCAAAAAAGTACATGAGCTTCTTTTAAGTTACAAACGTCAAGCATTTTTGGTTCCAATAGACATCAATGGGAATGCTTGAAAACTGTGTAAAAATGCCCATATTGTGCATTTTTCCCCTAATAACTAGGGGAGAAGCAAAGCAAAAGCTCAAGCAAAAATGCTCATAAACAGCTGTACAAACACTCAAGAAAAAAAGCCTGTACAAATGATCAAAGATGCTCAGTGTAAATGAAACCTAAGTGGAGTTGCTGGCTTTTTTCTGCATATTTACTGTGTATGGTTGTTGGAGGACCGTATAGAGCAAGAGCACCCATTGATGGGCTCCACATTTAATACAGAATGGCCTTCCTGTAGTGAGCTCTGCACCTGTTCTTGTTTTTCCTAAATTGTTCCATCCTAACAAGCCTAAATAGGAAGATACCTGTAGATGTGATATTGAAGCCAAGGGCAGTCTGCACTGCCCTGAAATCTTGTGTTTTTTTGCCTTTTTCAACAGTTAGGCAGCATTCCCAGCAATATTATTTTCTTTCTTTTCTTAAAAATTGATCCCTTTATCCTTTGGAAGTAGCCCATTCCCAACTAGCTCTGCTGTTCTCCCTTGAACTAACCTGATTTACTTTGCTTGTTTTATTTGTTTTACCCCCTGCTTTCTGCTTGTTTTTTTGCCTACATATATAAGGCAGCCCAGGTAAGACTTTAATGTGCCCTGTATGTCTGTAGTAATATATTGAGACGTCTTGTGAATCCTGTAGCTGCATTTTCAATGGCTGTCTTGTTGTAAAAGTCTATCTAGCTTATTCAGTATGGCAGTATAAAGAGCAGTTATTCTGCATAAATTATAGTGCCCCATACCCACCACTCATATATCCTCTTCCAGCTTTGGGCTCCTGCACGTTGCATATCATCATTGCACTGCCTTATAAAGTAAGCTAGTACTGTATGTCTTTTCTTTTCATTAGTGCTAATCATATTAGTTGCAAAGAGTGTCATTTTAGGTAATTGCTGTGATTAAAACTTTCATGACCTATTACCCATGTCTTTTTTTCCATAGATATTGTGTTCCATCCATTACATTTACTGTTTTAGCTTTTTTTTTAATCATGTACTTTAAAGTAGAACACAACCCCACTGCATGGGTTAACTGCTCATTTTGTCTAGGGGCACACCGAAAGGCTGTACTTACCCGATCCTTTGATCCTCTGGAAAACAGCGCTCCCCCACATCCAGTGGAGGACTGTTCCTGCCGTCCACACGTCCAGAGGCAGTCTATGGGTGTGATGACGTCAGGAACAATCCATTTACAAAACAGCTAGCATGCAGTAGGACAGGTGGCAGAAACTGGTCTTGTGCTCGGACAATTGGCAAAATAGGTAAGTATATCTGCAATCCCCTAGACCAGTGATCTCCAAACTGTGGCCCGGGGGCCAGATGCAGCCTTTTGCTTGCTTTTATCTGGCCCTCGAGGCATTATTCCTTTCACTGCAAGCAACAGTGTGGCATAGTTTATCCCACTGACATTGACAATGGGGCACTATTCCTCCTATTGACACCAGTGGTGGGGCACTATTCCTCCCATTGACACCAGTGGTATTCCTCCCATTGACACCAGTGATGGGGTACTATTCCTCCCATTGACACCAACAATGGGGCACTATTCCTTTCATTGATACTAATGATGGGGCACTATTCCTCCCATTGACACCAGTGATGGGGCACTATTCCTCCTATTGAAACCAACAATAGGGCACTATTCCTTCCATTGATACTAACAATGGGGCACTATTCCTCCCATTGACACCAATGATGGGGCACTATTCCTCCTATTGACACCAATGATGGGGCACTATTCCTTTCATTGATACTAACAATGGGGCACTATTTCTCCCATTGATACCAAGGATGGGGCAATATTTCGTTCATTGATACTAAGGATGGGGCACTATTTCTTTCATTGATACTAACAATTGGGCACTATTTCTCCCAATGATAAAAAAGGATGGGGCACTATTTCTTTCATTGATACTAAGGATGGGGCACTATTTCTTTCATTGATACTAAGGATGGGGCACTATTCCTCCTGTTGATATTAACAATGAGGCACTATTTCTCCCATTGATACCAATGACGGGGCACTATTCCTCCTATTGAACCCAGTGATGGTGCACTATTCCCCCATTGATACCAATGATGGGGGACTATTCCTTTCATTAATACTAATGATGGGGCACTTTTTCTCCCATTAATACTAATGATGGGGCACTATTTCTCCCATTGATACCAATGATGGGGCACTATTTCTCCCATTGATACCAATGATGGGATAATTTTCCTCCCATTGATACTAACAATGGTGGCACTCTTACTCCCCCTAATACCAATGATGGGGCACTATTACTCCCCCTAATACCAATAATGGGGCACTCTTCCTTCCCCTAATATCAATGATGGGGCATTATTTAGGACATTTTCTTCCCCACTGGTCACAGTCCAGCCCCCCTAAAGTTTGAAGGACAGTAAACCAACCCTTTGTTTAGAAAGTTTGGAGACCCCTGCCCTAGACAAAAACGAGTAGTTAACCCAGTGCGTGTACAGCCCCTCAGCACGGGAAAAAAGAAAATTCCTGAACAAACCTCTATGCTCACACATGTACCAGTACAGCTATAGTGAGAGTGATGTGGGAATATGGAAGAGAATGTCTTTAGGTATTGTAAGGCAGCTGAGATTGGTTCAACAATACGTGAAGCATGTACGAGCATGCCTATTTATGAAAGCTATTTGGGGCAGCAGTACAGTGCACAGTGTTGTAACTCACAGCAGATAATCATATTTCTAGTCCTAAGATGTGCTCTTTAAAACAGAGTAGTTTTTTGTGACACTTAGATCAAGGTACAGATGACTAAATTTGACTATATACCAAGAGATAAAGTCACCTGGCCCTTCTTAGTCCTGGGTGCTGGTGAATCAGTCTGTAATAGAGTTGGCTTTGCATGGTAAAGGATAAATCTGAATAGTATGATATTGGTATAGGCAATGCACACATGTGTAAGGCACTCCTATCTTCTACTGAAGCAGTATTTTCTCACCTGAGAAGTTGAAATTGACACATCCATGACTCAGTATTAAATTGTCTTATGTACAGATGCCTCATTGTGTAGAACAGTGGTCTGCAAACTGCGGCCCAGGAGGTGAATGTGGCCCTTTGCTTGCCTTTATCTGACCTTGAGGCATGATTACTACCAACTTATACAAGGAACATTTACACCCAATGACACCAACAATTGGCCGTAATTACTGCCACTGACAGCAAAGATACAAGGAACTATTCCTCCCACTAACACCAACAATGTGGCATAAATCCTGCCACCGACAACAATGATGGACATTATTCCATTCACAATACCATCCAATGACACCGACGATAGCACACTATTTCTTTCACTGACACCAATGATGGGGCACTATTCCTTCCACTGACACCAATGATGAGGTATTATTTGCTCCCAAACAGAATATGAAAACACAGAAACAGAACAGGATATGGCCATCCATATTCTTTTAGATTAAGACTCTCTGGAATATATTTGCTAAAGACAAATGGCTACTCACTTTGCAAGGAATTTTCCCCTAGGAAGAATAGTAGTAAAATTTCACTTTACAAATAATACCCAATCACATGCAAGGAAAAAAAAATCACTATTTTTGTTTGTACATGATTGGATGATGGAAGTCAGTAGTGCTTCACTGTGTTCATTAACCTTGCAAAGTGAACAGTCTATTTGCCTAAATCAACCCTGATAAGTTCAGCTAAATAGCTGCCAGTTTTGTATATTGTAACACCAAGAAGTGCTGCTGTGTTTGCTGCTCCTAGAGCTGATATACTTTTATTAACAGTAGTCGAGTAGAGGCAAGATAAGGAGAATACTTCTGTCCCTAATTTCTTTGTGCTTTCAGCTATGCTGATTAATAGATGTCACACTGAGCCTCTAGCAGAAATTGAAGGAAGGATATGACAAGTGACAGGAACAGTGCCGCGCATAATGATCAGTTAGTTAAAAGTCCTTGGTAAATTAGAGACTGGGATCTAAAAAGCACCAGCATTAAGCATATATCTCCATAATTTGTTCAAGCCTCAACTTCGGTTGACACGAATATTGTAGCTTGGATATGGCTGTTACTACATAGAAAACAAAACTTGTTAATTAATAACTAATTTTATGTTTTGTTTTCCCATGAACAGAGGATGAGCAGAGAGAGAAATCCATGTCACACCATACAGTACAACAGCTGATTATGGAAAAAGAACAAGCACTCTCTGACTTGAATTCAGTGGAAAAGTCACTTGCAGATCTCTTTCGAAGATACGAGAAGATGAAAGATGTGCTGGAAGGCTTCCGGAAGGCAAGTGGTTTGAAACAATGAGATCTAAGGATCTCATGATTTAAAGTGTCTGTAGGGATGACTTCTCATAGCAACGTGACGTTTCATGTTGTGATATTGGGGAGAAAATTAGGAATCTGGTTACTATGAGCAGCAGTTCTTCATTTGGATACTTTTTGTCTTTTTGAAGCTGTTTTGAATGACTAAATAATTTCTCCCAACTTTCTAATCTATCTACAGAATGAAGAGGTGCTGAAGAAGTGCGCTCAGGAATATCTGGCACGAGTGAAGAAAGAGGAACAGCGGTACCATGCTCTGAAAATTCATGCTGAGGAAAAACTGGACAGGTAGGATAATATGATACGGCAAAATGAAATGTAATATTAGTTACAGATTGGGAGCAGCAAATCAGATATTTATTTCTTAGAAAAGGAAGCTGATTGGCAGCTGTTGGATATTGCAGAAGTTAATGTGGTCTGCTTTTTATAAATGTGTCTGCATTGTATTTGACAGCGTGTGATCTTTTCCTATAGGGCTAATTCAGATATTGCCCAGGTGCGTGGCAAGTCTCAGCAGGAACAGGCAGCATACCAAGCCAGTCTGAGGAAGGAACAGCTCAGAGTCGATGCTTTGGAGAGGACCCTGGAACAAAAGGTTAGACATTGTTTCTGAATTCATGTAGTAAAAAGCAGTCTTGTTCATTGATATTTTTTCAAATTCTTTCAGATGTGTTCTACTTCTCAATTTTTGGATTTGTATTGCTTTATGGATTCAACGGTCTTTTACCTTTTTTTCTAAGTCCATATGCATCAGTGTTTCAGATTGGTCCATTCCCTTAAAACCTCTTCAATTTTAATAAATAGTAGTGTTATGTGCCTCTTCCTGCATGTTATTATTATTTATTATTATACAGTATTTATATAGCGCCAACAGTTCGCTCAGCGCTGTACATTACAATGGGAGACTATACATGAGACAGTACAATAACAATACAATGCGATACACGAGGAGTTCGAGGGCCCTGCTCCTTGGAGCTTACAATCTAGGAGGGAGGGGATAGTGGTGCGGGAGGAATAGCTGTGGGGGATGGAGTGGTAGGAAGAGTGGAGGAGATCGGCAGTTAGCAGAGGGCGGGGTAGGCTTCCCTGAAGAGGTGGGTTTTCAGGCTGCGCCTAAAGGAGAGGAGAGTAGGTGTTACATCCCTTTTGGCATCAGCCATATTGCACAAGTATCCAATATGTTCTGTTTGGGACATTATGGATTACATGCAGAGCTGCCATAGTCTATCATTCTACAGCCAACAATGGAAGGGGCGTCTGCATATTTTCTGTCCTACGGATCTAGTGTTTTAACCCCATCTGATCCTGAATCTGTATATTATTTTTTCCCACCATGATGTGTCTTCTAAGATATGTTATAAAATTGTTCCCCCTTTGAGAGCCACCTGCTGACACTTGCTTGGCTGGTGGCTCCTAATCTCAGATGTCACTTGACAGCTCCGAACCCCACTGATGATCAGGGTGCTCATTATTAAAACAGTGTTCTGAATAAAAGCCTTATACAACGGTATAGACTTAAAATTGTAAAAATATATTTAGGGTATGCATACTAGCCATAGAGTTTTGTCTAGGTAATTGATGCTGCTTTATTTGGCTTGAGTATCTAAGCTTTTTAATGACCTCTGATCATGAAAGGGTAAAAGTGTGCAATATTTTCTTCACTATGCATTTTGTAAAATCAGAAATTCAATTTTACATTTCCTTAAGGCATTACTGCACAACTCAGTTGAAATGACTGTTTTATATTATTTTTCTAAGTTTTTGTGTATCAACTTAACAGTCCAATCAATTTTATCCAGTTGGGCAGTCCCAAGTTGTAGCTAGATGTATAATAGGTTGTATAGTCAGCGTGTAAGATATGTGGTAGACTAAAGAGATTTCCAGGCATTTCTTCTTGTATCTCTGTGGTAGGAAGTTAGGGGACATTTCCCCAAGGGAGGCCGAAAAACAATCTGACTGGTTTTAACTAATTTCCACGCTATCTAAAGGAAAAAAGTTTTCACTAGGCACACTTTAAGATCAGAAATTACCTGTTCTTATATCAGTCATATTTGATTCTCATGCACTTTCTCTTGTCGTTTCAGAATAAAGAGATTGAAGAGCTCACCAAGATTTGTGATGAACTTATTGCTAAAATGGGAAAGAGTTAACCTGGTGCTTCATCTTTTGGGATGCTTGGTTTTCAAGCGGAGTGCAATCTGGATGATGTAGGGAAGGACTGATCCATTTTTATTTGGACCTTGGATATGGAGACGTGGCACCCACAGCTAAGGGTGGCACGAGAAGCGTATGACGCCAGCTTCCTTTCTGCATGGCCTTCCTGTATCAGGAAGGTAGAAAAAACTGGCCTTGCATCTCCATGCGTTTTTAGCTTATTTTATATGGGAGATATCCTCAGTTCTGCATTGTGTCAAAGAGCTGTAAGCTCATTCTACGTCCTGCTGGGCAAGACTACTCCATGTTTCAAACACTTTATAAGGAATGGCTGAGGGACTGCTTTCATCACTGGATTACTATTTAAGTAGATTGCAAGATGAAATGATGTCCAGCTCATACTCGCATGATTGGAGTGCTGTAAATAAATCTGTATTATGCAAACACTGGAGAACCCATTTTCCCCTTTGAGAAATATCTTGCTGGAAATTTGCTAACATCTTATTGTTGTTCCTATTTCTCATAAAATCGATTTGTTTGTTTGAGAGCTGCACTATCCTGAAATACAAAAGAACAGCTTCCAAAATTGCCAAATATCTGTACATTGCTGGCAATTAAATGGTTTAACCCTGCTGCTGATTGGCACATATTGTCTGAGTCGTTTTGTATTAACACCTTGGACGGAGCCTCACCACCTTCAGAGCAACACCACCAGCAGATTAATAACATTTGAAAAACATATAATGTAAATGTGTAACCCTTCAAAGGTTTTGTAAACCATACACCCTACAGTACATTACAGCTGTGTAGCATAAGAAGGGCGACAGCACCATTCAAAGCATTACATTCTACCACTGGCCCACCTCCTGCCTGCTCTCTACTTTTGCTTCCTGCCTGCTCTTTGGCCCTTCCTGCTCTTTGGCCATGCTTCTTGTCTGCTCTTTGGCCATGCTGCCTGCCTGCTCTTTGGCCCTTCCTGCTGTTTGGCCATGCTTCTTGTCTGCTCTTTGGCCACGCTGCCTGCCTGCTCTTTGGCCCTTCCTGCTCTTTGGCCGTGCTTCTTGTCTGCTCTTTGGCCCTTCCTGCTCTTTGGCCATGCTTCTTGCCTGCTCTTTGGCCCTTCCAGCTCTTTGGCCATGCTTCTTGTCTGCTCTTTGGCCCTTCCAGCTCTTTGGCCATGCTTCTTGTCTGCTCTTTGGCCCTTCCTGATCTTTGGCCATGCTGCCTGCTGCTCTTTGGCCCTTCCTGCTCTTTGACCATGCTTCTTGTCTGCTCTTTGGCCCTTCCTGATCTTTGGCCATGCTGCCTGCCTGCTCTTTGGCCCTTCCTGCTCTTTGACCATGCTGCCTGCCTGCTCTTTGGCCCTTCCTGCTCTTTGGCCGTGCTTCCTGCCTGCTCTTTGGCCCTTCCTGCTCTTTGGCCATGCTTTCTGTCTGCTCTTTGGCCCTGCCTCCTGCCTGCTTTTTGTCCATGCTTCCTTCCCTTTTTTTTACCCAACCTCTCCTGTCTGCTCTTTGGTTCCCTTTCTTGCCTGCTTTTGGCCACACTTCCTCCTTACTCTTTGGCTCCATGTCCTACCTGAACTTTGGCCAATTTACACATGCACATTGTTGTAAAGCATTCTACTGCAACATGCAGTAAGGCAATGCACTTGTGTTGATGTGCTGCCATGCCATTCATTTTGAATGTAGCGCATGTTGCGTGCAATGTGCTGCACTACAAAGAAAGACAAGTGTTCAAAACTGCATGCACACTACAGCATCTAAATATATAAAATATAAAAAATATATATATAAAATACTAAATATGCTGGAGCTGAATTTGGTTCATAAGCAAACCTGTGATTTCTTGTGTACGGCAAAGCAACAAGTTTGTTTTAATGCCCCCTTACCTGCAGCACATTTATTTATTTATTACAGGTACTTATATAGTGCCATCAATTTTATGCAGCGCTTTACATATATATTGTACGTTCACATTAGTCTCTAACCCTCAAGGAGCGCAGAATCTAAGGTTCCTTACTCACATATACAAGGGAGCCAATTAACCTACCAGCATGTCTTTGGAGTGTGGGAGGAGACTGGAGTACCCAGATGAAACCCAGAAAGACACAGGGAGAACATGCAAACTCCAGGCAGGTAGATATGCTAACAACTTAGCCACTGAGCTGCCCACATACTTATGATATTTTTCACTCCCTCTTCAGCTGCCAGGAGTAATGAAAGGCAGCCCTGTGTAAGCTCTGAGTTGCTCAAATTAGAGCTTACATAGGGTTGGGGACAGTCTCCCCACCCCCATGTGACAGCACTTCAACAATCAACAAGCACGAGTATTGTTGCACAAGAGGAAGGGGAGTAGGACACATGCTCTTGCATACCTGTAAGAACCAGGTGTTGTCTTTGCTCCCAATGACTGACCAGAGTGGTTTGGGAGTGATAGAAAGATGAGTATATACTGCTTCTGGGAAAAGGGAGTATTAAAGAAAACCTTTTTTTTTTACCCTGCCAGGGCAATGCATAGGTCTGCTTTCCTCTGGAACACCTTAATTCATTAAAAAAAAAGCTGGCGATTGGTTGCTATAAGGAACATCAAAACTGTAATTCATCTATGTTTTGTAGATGGACCACATTGTCAGGCTTATTGATTAAAGCCATCAAACAACAAAACTAAAGTATAGTAACCCATTGCAAACAATCAGATTTCTGTTAACTGTGGTCATATACTGTAGGTGACACTTGATTTTAAATTGTTTGCTTTCATGCTTTTGTTCTATTAGCTATGCCTGTGCAATAATTCTTGTAGGTGTTTTGCTATCACAGTATTCTGACACAGCACAGGCAGCTGAGGATACAGCTCCTAATACTACAAATTGACAATACCTCCTGGAAATTCTTGCAGCATTCCAGTAATCCCTCATTATTCTATACATATTTGTTAAAATTGGGAGTGCCTCATTTTAAAACTAAACTTCAAGCAAATAGTTAAATACATAGGTAAAATAAATGTGAACTAAAAATAATTCTGAGCAGTCAGTTTTGTGGTCCAGCATCCCCCCCCCCAGAGGTTCTACCTTTCTATCCAAGGGTAAAAAATATGTTCTTGCTGGACTTGGCTTATAAGGTTTCAATAAATATGTCAAGTAGGGACCCCAGAACACAATTTATGAAACTGGCCGTATTGATTTTTTGACCATCTATTTTTTCCTAAGGATTATGCTGACACATTTCTATAGGCATAGAAAAGCAGCAGTAGAAGCAATTTAAAAAAACAAATGATATAAACCTACTTTTGAACATTGTTCCCTTGCACTTAAATGTGACTTGAATGTGCAGTATTTTTATCATTGATGTTTCGTGGCACAAATCTGTAGAGAACCACCTGACAATGTTTATGTTACTAAGGGCGACATTGTGTGTGTGCAGAGAAAAAGTTCTTGGAATATTGGGAAATGTATGTGTTTTCCAGAGTGTGGGCTTTAGGGGAGAAGAAGTGGTCCACTTTACAAAGTGAATGTTAAGCCAGCCACAGATGGATCACATCTTGGTTGGTTTGACCATCCAAGATTTGATCCATCTAGGCAGGTTGGTTGTGCTGAAGTTGATCCATTGTCTGAATTTTTTCATGCAGTCACTGCCAGTGGCTTTAGCTGCTGGCAGTGGCCATTGTGTTCTGCCAACAGGGAAGGCTTCCTGCCGGCAGAATACCACAGTACTACAGGAGGGATTCCCCCATCAACACTGACTGTGTTGATGGGAGAATCAAGCTATTTTATTTCCTGCAACCATAGAATTCTGCTTAATGTATGGCCTGCCTTAGAGAATGGAAGTGGTTGTAAATGTCAGACATGAAATATGAGCAAAGCATATCCCTCTATAGTGTGTACTTGACTCAATTAAGAGCAATAAATGTAATTTCTGTCATCTGCTTCTTTCCTTTATGAATAACTTCTGACAAGTTTTCCTGACACTAAGAGAAATATGGTTTTGGTGGGGAGGGACCTGCAGCTGATTGACGGCCTCAGCTCTGTTCCTGTGAGCTGTGTGAAGGGAAAGGGGTGTCACTTCCCTCCAATGAGCTCTTCTCTCTGAGCTTTGCAGTGTGTAATTTCAGATCTCTGCCCCCTTTTTTTTAACTCTCAGACAAGCTTTAAAATTCTGCATTTTGAATGGATGTAGAGAAGAGAAAACTGCAGATAGACAGGTACAACTTATGTATTTATTTCAGCTCTGTGTATCACCTGAGGCAGGTCACTTCGCTGGGTGTATGTGTAAGGGTTTACAACCACTTTAAGGCGAACTTGTGTTCACTTTGAATGCCAAATTATGTGCAAGATAAGTACAAAAAAACTGAATTTTGTTAGCACTTACTTGGTTGATCAGCTGCATATGTGCTTAATTTATTAAGTGAGTTTTTCAATTTGTTACATAATCAGTCACTTTTTCTTTTCTAAAATCACTAAATTAAACCCAATGTTCTGTTGATTTGCCACTGTGTCAAAATGATTTACAGAGGTCTCATCAAAGATAATGTATTGTGACATAAAACCTGTGGCCAACTGTGTTTGGCCTTGGGCTGGGTAGAAATATTCAGCTGAATTTCCTTATGTTCTGTCATTCATAAGTCCATCATATCAAAACTTCAGTTTGCAAGTGCAAAATTTAAATTGTTTCTACACTGCCACCGGAAGCGCCAAGGGTCCTAACGATCTGGTATATTGTGATTTGCTGATTTTCAATGACAGGTTCCTTGTATTTAGAGATCATTGCTGCAATTCTGCTTGTTTCTGTTGCCCTGATCTTCATTTTCCTTGACAACAAACTCTCCATTTTCCTTGACAACAAACTCTCCATTTTACTTGACAACAGTGGGATAAGCCATATCAAAATCTAACGCTGCATACAAATTAGCACATGCCTCTTGGGCAAACATCACAAATATTTTATAATGGCTTACACTACTTTATTCGACAGTGTTGCTTTCCTTGGCATTTTGAATA